GTCACACCCCGCATTGCAAAGCAAATTAGTGTAGTTCAGGAATACAGCTTGAAAGACTACCATTATTTCTTTTTGCCCAAGTAAAGGGAGCTTAGGTGACCAATAGTCCTCCCCCAACTCCTGAATCCACATTCAGCTGGCATTGCTGGGTACCAATACACGAGATCGGAAAATAAGAGAGTAAACATACTTCCCATCTGCTGGTTTGTCCTCCACCCCCTCTTCTTAGAAATCACAGAAACAGAAAAATGAGCTCAATGCGACCTTTATATGTCAGCTCATCTGCCCTGGACTCGCATCCCACGCCTTACCCAGATAAACATGCATTGATGTCACTTCATTTACAAATTGGTGCAAATGCCTGTAATGTAGAAATGGGCATAGTCTAAGCAGCTATTTGTCTTTTGTTGTTCCTTGAGCATATAAGAAAAATGAGCTGGACAGTAGATTCTAAAGAAAGATAGCATTGGGCGGGCTATAGCTGCATGAAAGGTCAGTAAACTACACAGTAGGATAACTGATGAAAAGCTGATAACAAAAAATCCCCACCAATGAGGAAAACTAATGGAGTTTGTGGGAGAACTGTACTGGCCTGATCATGTACCAAAATGGCAAGTTCATATGAATAGTATTTGGTATTGCATCTGGTTACCTACACAGGTACTCCATGGTTACAGTAATACAACTGTGAATGTAGAACAGCTTAAACATTATTAAGGTGAATGCCCTTTCCTATGAAAAATCTTAGACTGAAGTATATTTCTTAAAGTACTACTTTGTAGCATGTGGTAATGAAGTGCATATCAGAAGTTGCCATTTCTTGAAGCATGTTATTTCCAAGTATTTTTTCCTGTACCAAATGGTCAATCAATAAGGCCAGTCAAAATGTCAGCTTATTTTTAAGATTAAGTTATCTTTTCTGTGAACATCAGTTTTCTCTACAGGTACCTCTAGTGTAAAAATTCAAGCATACTGCCTGCAGTGTGACAGAAATTTCAAAAAAGCATAAACTTCAAACAAAAGGTAGATAGATGGCTTTAACAGAATTTTTATAAAGCAAGGATAAACTTCCTTACCCTTGTAAGCATCACCACACATTTCTAGAATAATTTCACAACCTAAACCTTGAGCTTGAAAGCTGCTTATTTTTTTTATTCCATGAAGACTGATCACAACATGTTGCAGAACTGTTTTTCATACATCAGTGTAAGCATACGCATAAATCTCCATAGGATTAAAGTCAATACATACAAAAAGTTATTCAGTGCAAATAAAAATCTAAGATACTGGATAATAGGGTCTCCTGCATTGAAATACCAGTCACTAGCTGGAGATTCACTGACACTAAAATATATCTAAAGAGATTCCTACAACAAGTTTATGTATACTTTGTAGGTCACACTGAGAGGGATAATATGGGACCTATTTCCCTTAGGATACAGATGTGAATGTATAAAACTCTCGCCTGCTGGATAGCTTACTCTAGCTACAGATGGAAGGCATGTGTCTTTTACACATCTTATTTCTGAGGGACAAAATGTTCTGTTTTGTTTTCTCTATGAGCAACAGAACACATCAGAAGTGTCTATTTTCAGTATCTGTGCAGAAGTGGTGTGCAGCACTTTTTATTTTAAACAGATGAAATACACAGTAATGTAAAAACTGCATTGATCTCTTCCAATCACATTGTGCACTTCTAGTTTGGTAACTGCTCAGAAAATCTAGTTGGCTCCTTTTAGGAGCCCACACTAGCTATTATAAAATTAAGCTACATGTTATGAGTCTGTGCTGCTACTTTTTAAATCTTTCTCCTTTAGAAAAGAGTGTCTGATCAGTTCTGAACAGAATGAAACTCTGGCTGGCTTTATTAGTTCAGGGTCAGATGCTTCTGTCAGAAATGAAACCTTGCTTAAATCCTTGTTTCAGTGTCCCTTTAAAAGTCACCAAAGAAGGGGGCAGGGAGGGAGAGGGGGGCTGATCTGTCTGCATAGCTCACTGTTGAGTAAAATGCAGACCCCTGTTCCATTTATCAGCACACATTTTCCAAAATCAGCAGTATTATGAATTGACGGCTAATTTTGTATGCCTAGGGCACACCTGCCACTTGGCATGTTCAAGGAAACTGGTCAAGAAACAAGTTCATTATTTTCAGTTGCTGATAGATGAGGTGGTGTAACCAAAACTGAAGTGGAGGTATGCAGCTTGTAACAAAGAACAGCAAGTATATTTGCCTGTCTAAACCAGTTTTTTCCCACTATCCTGGACAAGGAACAAGTAGTGCTTATTTAAGTATGAATAAGATTCCCTAGATTTGTTTCCACAGGAATAATAGCAGCATTCACCCATATAGGCCTATCAAAGTCAATTTTTATACAACTATCTGCTTTACACTGAGTCCTTGAAATCTGTGGAAATATGGTCAGCACCAAGATATTCTACTTTCTCTCTGTACTGTTTCCTCCCATCACTAGTTACTTTTTTTTTAACTTAGGAATTTTTTATGCAAACTATTTCTGGAGTGTGTTAATGAACAAAGGGGTGGAGGTTACAGTGCCAGATACTTGCCTCTACAAGACTAAAAGACTAGTAGACATTTGTTACAAGAAACATTAGCCTGAAAACCTGACTGTACTGTTGCTGATATAAAGCAAATTTCGATATGTAGAAAAATCTCTATTCAACCATTTTTAAGAGAGACAGGAAGAATAGAGGGGAAAAAGCTGGCTCAGAGGCATGACACATTGCTTTTCTGAAGATCTAGATGTTCTTTGAGATATGTGTCTCATTTGAACTCACACTTGATAGTGAGAGTCAAATACGTCCTAGATACAAAACAAAAACTGAAGTCTTTAAAAAAAAAAACAAAACCAAAATCACATTCCACAGGAAACAGTCATGGTCTCTGAGAAGGGAACACAGGCTGGACCGTTGTTGTGACTTTTTTTCTGTGACATATCCTATGCTATTAAAAGTAATTTTCTGACTGTTAGACAGTAACTGGCTAGATGTTTTAAGAGCTATTTTTCCCCCCATAGATTTTATATTTTAATCCTAAATTGAATAAAAGGTTATTAACAGTCAAATATAATCTGTATTTAATACCTACTCAACTCTTAGATTCACTGTAAAAAAAAATACAGAAAGTACTGTGGTACTGTGTAGCAATGTACTACTTTCAAAATGCTGTTTATTCTAGCAGCTGACCAGCTCTACTAGCACTCAGTAGTGGAAATTTTAAAAACTCCATAAAACTCTGAGCATGCTCCCTCTAAACCTGCTCCAATAGGGCTCAACATGCCACAGGCATTCTGTGAGCAGCAGAAATTATGAGTCATGTTTGCAACATCCCTTGCCCGAGCAGATTCTTGGAATCTAGCAAGATAGGAATTCCTACAGTAGCTTTCCTTTTGGTGGGAACATTAGGATCTCTGTCTTCTACATAACCATTTATTTTCTATACCATTAATGTCTCTGAGAGATTTGGCTGAAGCTGGAGAAGGATTTAAAAAGTAATCAGTGGTAGAGCAGACAGTGTATTCACACTGATTTTTTTTTCTGTAGGAAACAACTAGAAAGTGCTCATGATTGATCTACTTTGGAGTATCTACCACTGCTAGGAGAGACTGCAGCTTATAATTCACAAGTGGGGATGACATAGCTTGGGACGCAGATTATCGACCCCAGCTGTCTGCCCAGCACCCAGCACACAAAGGACCAAGCTGTTCATGAGACAGCTGTGGAATCACGGCCTCTTACTGAAACGGGCAATAGTTTACAGCAGCATCCTCTAAATGGGGTTCAGATTATTCACAGTGTCTCAGCTATCCAGAAAAGGGGTGTTGGAATGAAGAGTTGGGGCTAGTAATCTCCTGTGCCACCCCCAACTATGGTACCTCTTCTTGCAAATTCAGCTGTGAGCTGCACTGATGCCAGAACACGACCACGTGTAGTTGTAACAGAGATGGTGAAAGGAGGGGGAAAGGGAGGCCTTTGTGCCTATTTCCATCTGAGGAGGAACATCAAATATGCCATAAGTGTACATATAATGTTCCATGTAAATGTTAGATTTGTACATTATATATACAGAATACATATAATAATAATATGTAATACGCAAAATGTTACATAATACTTTGTGTATTAATTAAGGTTTTGATCAGTTTTATTGTGTTAATTGTAAAGCAGCTTGGGTTCTATGCCATTGTGATACAGGCAGGAATGTAGGTGTCCTTCTTGTCCAGCTTCCCCATACGTCCCATATGTCTCCTGGTATGCCCTCATTCCAGGAGAGACGAGACTGGCAGCAAACTGCCCAGGTTGGAAGTCCCGGACCCGGGAGAGCTCCCGACGGGGCCAAGCGGCCCTTACACCGCCCGCCCCGCTGGCCCGGGACTCGGGGAGCGGCCCAGCCGAGCAACCAGGAGCCGCCCCGGCAGCCGAGGTCGGGCATCCGGGCGTCTGCTGGAGCCGCAAGAGCAGAGAACCGGGCAGCAGGAGGGCACCCGCCGCCCCGGCCTTGCCCGCCCGCCGAGCCGCCTCCCGCTGCACCGCTCCGCTCCTCCTTCACCTGCCGGGGCTCGAGGGGAGAGCGGACCCAGGGACCGCCTCCCGCCCCCGAGCACCGCGCTCTTGCTCGTTCACTCCTTTCCCGGCGGGGCAGCCCCTATGGGCAGGTGGACAGCGAGCCCCCCTCGTGTATGTGTGTGCGTGTCTGTGTGTCTGTCTCCAGCAGGTTCCCACCAAGGGGACTCTCCTTACCCACCTTGGGGAGCACGGCCGGAGCCCAGGCGGGGCCTCACCTGGCGCTGCCCCACACCTTGCGGGAGGAGCGGGGAGGGAGGCGGGGCAAGGCAGCGAGCCCGGCCCGTTGCGCCGCCGCCGGGGGCCGGTCTCCCGCCGGGCGCGGGGAGGGAAGGAGAGGCAGCGGCCCCCGCCCGCCGTAACCGCTCCGTACCCCGCCCGCTGGTGCCGCCCCCAGCATGGCGACACGGTAGAGGAGCGGCTGCGCCGGGCGACCGCCCCCTCCCGCCTCCCTCGCACGGGCACGGCGCGCCGCGGGCGAGCGAGCGGCCTCGGCGGCGCTGCTGCCGCCGGTGCCCCGCACAGGGCTCAGCGGCGGCGCAGGAGGATGGCGGCGGCGGTCGCGGCGGCGGCGGCGGGCACAGCAGCAGCAGCAGCGGCGGGGCCGAGAGGCCGCGCGGCGGGAGCCAGCACCGTCCCGAGCAGCTCATGGTGGCGCCCCAGACCCGCCAGCAGCGGCCGCGCCGGGGCCGCCAGCTGAGCCGGATCCCGGCGGGCGGCTCTCCCCTGTCCACACCGACCCACCGAGCGACCCGTCCCTCTCCCCCGGCGAACCCTCTCCCCCCTCCCCGGCTCGACCCGCACCTCGGATCGGCCCCGCCGGCGCCGGACTGCCACCACCCCCGGGCGCCGCGGGGAAGGCGGCGGCGAAGGGCACCGGGCAGCGCCAGGCGGCGGCGGGACCATGGGCGCGAAGCAGAGCAGCCCCACCGCCGCCAATGGCCGCACCCGGGCGTACTCGGGCGGGGATCTGCCTTCCTCCAGCAGCAGCAGCAGCGGCGGCGCTAACGGGACCGGCGGGCGCTCGGCGGGCGCCGGCGGGCGGTACGCGCACCTGGCAGCGGCGCCTCACGCCGCTCCGGGCGGCGCGGCGGCGGCCGGAGGAGCGGCGGCGGCGGGGGGTGCCGCGGGGTCGGCACCCCGGAGCAGGTCCCTGGGGGGGGCCACCGCCTCCGGCGCCCGGGCGGCGCAGTCCGCCCTAAACATCCTCCACAGCGTCGGCCCCTACGGCTCGCAGGACTCGGTCAACAGCACCCCGGAGGAGGGCGGCCGGGAGCGGCCCGCGGGGAGCGGCGGCGGCGGCGGCGGCTCCTCCGGCAGCTCCTCCGGCGGGCCTCGGCTGGTGATCGGCTCGCTGCCCGCCCACCTCTCGCCGCACCTGTTCGGAGGTAAGGGGCGGCGGCGGGGCGGGGGGGTTTCGCTGCCTCTGCCGCCGCTGCGGGGCTGGGGGCGCGGGCGGTGGGATGTGAGTGGGGGGGTGTCTTTTCCCGGCTCTTGGCCCCGAGGTGGGACTCGGGGACATCACTCGGGGGAGAGCGGCGGCTCCTCCACGCTGGTGTCCGCCGGAGGGGGCATGGGTTTGGAGACGGGGCTCTCGGGCCGGCGTCTCCTATTGTCTGTAGGGAGGGCTGTAAAGGGGGGAGATTAAAAATGAGACGAGCCTGGCGGCGGGGGAGGAAGCGGAGCGTCTCCGGCCGACGACTTTAGGCTCTAATAGCTGTAATCAGTGCCTGTGTAAATACTCTTGCCTACTACTTACATAATTAGAATTTAATTGGATCATGTGTCTCCGCCGTTTATTCTAAAATCGGACCAAACTCCTCTTTAGGTACTGATTAACGTATGGCTGATGCTTGTTCCTCTTTCTGAGTTCTCGTGTTCCCTGTTCAGAAAGTCAGTAAAGAAAAACAGAAGTTAAAATAAGTTTCCTTGTTCCTTCCCCCCGCAAGAGGTGAGTAGAACTGGATAGCTGCCCGTGCCGCTGGAGTACAGGCTTGCAGCACCGGTACCCTGTAGCCTTGAGGATGGGCACATGTGCTCTCAAGGCATGAGAAACATTCGACTAAACTGAAATAACCAAGAAGCTGAGGCCCTTTAAGAAGCATATTAAACGTGGAGCAAGTAGTAGGTTTTTGTCTCTCCTGTGATACCGAGATGAATTGGGCTGTATAGGACGAGCATTTTGCTGCCCGTGTTCTTTACCTTAAAGTTAAAAATCTTCTTGGTTAGTTGCCAGCTGCTTTCAAAGTTGCCGGCTGCTTTCATAGTTGCTGACTGCTTTCAGTACTGCTTATTCTAAAGGTCGTTGCTTATATAGGTCAAACGTTAATGTGCAAGTTGATTTTTTTAACGGATGCATTTAATTGATAATTCGTATATAAACACATCTATTTTAACCTTTCTAAATACTAACTAACTTCCCCAAATGCTTTTTTTTTGGGGGGGGAAGAAGAAGCTAATGTAAAACTCCTATGTTTCTGTGTTCTTGTTGATCCGTTTGTGAATACTATTTGTTGCAGGTTGGTTTTCTTTTTCTGTAATTCAACCAGTTTTTAGCCAAAGCAGAGCTGTCTGGGGTTCGACCCTCGCAGGGTATGTGAGGTTTTAGTCATATGGCCTGCCGCCTCTTGTTGGTGTGTTTATTTCAAGACACATAGCTGTTATTTCCTATTTCTAAAACTGCCTCATCCCAGTGGTCAAACCTTAACAGAAAGCTGTCAAACCCTATTATAGTAATATTTTCTCTTTAGAAAGTAAACGTAACTATTACCATAGTACTAAGCTGCTCAGTAGGAGTGCTTTGTTGGAAGGATGCTCATTACACCATCAAGGTAGCTTGAGGAGGAATAAGGTGCAGGTATGTCTCTTGGTGACAAAAGGAGGCCCCTGTCATGGAGCATTATGCAGCTTGGGCTAAGCAAAAGGGAATTATTAGAATGTGTAGCCAATTGTTGCTCAAACTTCTTTTGTCTCCTGGCTTAAACATTATATTACAACTTGACTTGCTGCCAGGAGTGAGTTGTTTAAATGTAAATGTGATGAGGATCAATAACCTTGCAAGTTTTATTCAGATGGAGGAAGGTCTCTTCAAAGTAACTCTGAATTTGATCTTTTCTATGGCACATAGTATTTTTTTAATTGCTCTACTACAGTGTATCTTGTCCTTTGCAAATCTCTGACATTGTTATATTAAAGACTATAGAGGCTGAAATGATGTAAAGCTTGTTGCTTTTACCAGTGCAGGAAGAGTGCCAGGAGGGGTGTACACTCTCTTTATCTACTCACTAATAAATAAGGAGTGCTACATGTGAAGAGTGTGAGTAGCAATTTTCAAGATACACTCCTCTTATGTGATCACAAGATGGTCATGAATCTACTTCTTCATTAAAAATTTCAGTATATCTTATTGGGATGAATAACTGTTTAATCATATAACACTGCAACACCTATGAAGAAGGACTCACTTGAAACATTATTCATTTTTTCAATTTAAATATTTTGTGATATCAGTGATACATCACCCCACATCACACTCAGTGTTGCCATCCTTATGTAGTTGCATGCTTTGGGCTTTCTTGATTCCTTGTAAGAACTGGATGCTTGGAGCAAGTAGCCCCACTGGAGATCATACATTAGTAGCATCAGCATGGTGGAAAATAACTTGAAGCATTGTTTTTGTCCTAATGGTAACTAGCTCAAGCTTGTCTAGGTGTGGTATCTGGCATTTATCTTGTGTATCATAAGCATGCTTGAAGTCCCCTCCCTTGTTTTGTAACTTGCAAATTAGCTGAATTGTTTCTTTTTATTTCTTTTTATCCTGAAAGCTGCCAAAATTAATTTTGAGGATTTGTATAGCAATTCTATGAGAATTAAAATAAAAAAGAACGAGAATAACTTCTGTAAGTTGAACCTAATCTCCAGCTATGTGTGTTTCTAGGCATACTGCTTGGCTTCATCAGTCAGTGACACGTGGGTGTTGCATTTGTTAAATTACTGTCATTGATTTGCCATTAGTAAATTACACTCTATTGTCACTTTTACTGAGCTGTTTTGCATGCTGAAGTAATGTATAAATACTAACCCTCTGATGTAACATACTTAAATTCATACTATGCTTGTTAATATGCCATTTGAATGAAAATATAAAAATTATGTCAATGTATCGGAAAGTATGTTCAGTTATTGTCCATGTTCCTTTAATAGGAACTGTAGTAATAAAAACCTTTCCTGACTGTGAAGGTCTCGTGTTCCTGTCTGACCTCAGGCTAGTGCACTTTTATGAACAACATACAGTGGAGTAAATACTGCTCTGTGATTTTATGCCTCATCTGTGGGAGAGTTCAATTCACTCAGGAATTAGGGGCCTTGGTCTCACAAAACAAATATATGCGTGTTTAGCTTTGTGCTATGAGCATGCCTGAAGTAGGCTTAGAGCATTAAGTAGAGTGAGACCCAAATTCCATAAGATCTTATGGCACTCCCAGATGCAGGGGCCAAACCTGTGTGTGACATTCAAGAGCTTTCTTGCAGCACAGTAACAAGTTCCAGCTTCCTTTAAGGTGATAACACTTATCAGGAATTTTGACCAGTAGTTTCCCTTCTGTGTTCCTCAGTGAATGGGACTTCCCCAAAGTAAATATTCTTACCTTCTGTTATGAACAGTGTGTAGAAGTTTTGACCCTGAGATCCACAGTTAGTTTTTCCACTGTGTTTTTAGGCATTACATAGTGGTGTGTACACTGTCAGCACTGCAGCAAAGCTACTGCTGTAGTTACAGTATGCCTTGTTTTTGTCAGTGATGCTTGCAGCAATTGGTTCAGCTAAAAATGGATGGTCTTTTGGAATTCTTTTTGTTTTGGGTAACTGCTGATGTGTTACTTCCATCACTTAAAATGTTGACAGCACCTCAGAACCTGCTTTGTGTTTGTGTTCCTGTTTCTGGGTGGTCATAACTGGGAGAATTCTTGGTGAAAACGCCTAGAAAAAATACCTTTTCGGTGTTCAAATTTAAAGCTGCTCTTGGGAATGTTGTTATAATACAACAAAGGCTTTAAACCTTTTTTTTTTTTGTCTGAAGAGTATCTTAGGGAATAATATACAAAAATTCAACTGAAGATAGCAGAAACTCACACTGAGTTTTTTAATTTCCACATCAGTTTTTTATTCAAGTTGATTGAGCAGAGACGGTACGAATATTATCAAAATTTAAGATCATGTTCTATACAGTCATATACAATTTTATATCATGTATTTATAGACAAGTTTTAAAATATATAGTGTTGTCAGACACAACTGTTAACAGCTTTCAGGCATATGCCAAGATTTGTAGTAATAATTTGGGGATTAAGTTGCATGTGTTCTACCTTATTAGGAGAAGGAAGTTTGTTATGTACTTCTTAAGCCAAATAATGATCAGATATTTTTTTATGAAGTACTTTACAGTGCAGGATTTATCACTAGCTACTGAATGTACGTTGCACAGTATGGGTAGAACCTTATAGGTATGTTATAGTAGCATCTCTTTGTAATAATAGCTGGTAGAACTAATGAATCAATTCGTCATTCTATAAAAAAAAGTTTATGAAAGCCTCAGGTTATAACCTGAATTCCTAACTGGATTGTAGGAAGCAGGTATCAGTAGAAGAATGATGTGAATTCTCAGAAAAGAAATTTTTTAGACATCTCTCAACTGACTAGAAAGTCACATCTTGTTTGGTTTCCCATCAGATCTGTTTAGTTATATGATGCATTTGGATATGTTCTTGAGGTTCTCATCTTTCCCACACCTTTTTTTGGAGAGTATGACTATCTTTTGCTCACTTTCTTGCCCTTCTCTTCCTGTATGACACAAGTACTATTGCTTTGAGAAATCATGAAACTTTTAAACAATTCAAACTTCAATGCTGCTCCCATCTTACCAGCCAAAGGAGTTGGAATAGCTCTGAGGTTTTCGCCCCCTGAACTGGGAGAAGTGCTGTGAAGCGAGCCTTGCAATGAGACTGTTGGGATATCCTGTCCGTGCAAATCACATTAGAAGCAGTGAAACTTGCAATTGTAGTTTCAGCCTGTATGTCTTGGTACCACGAGATGTATCTTCCTGGCGGTTGGAATTCTTTTTATGTTTGAGGAAGGCCAGTGAATCTTTGATATATTTCTCTAAATTGCTTCCTAACCATTCAGCATGAGTAAAGAGTGTAAAGATTTAGTCTAATGAAAGCTATAACAAATTCCGTCCTTTTTTAAAGGTATAACATTTCTATTTGCTGTTGTGAACACAAAAAAAGTCCCATGTGCATTTTGAGATAGTTTTGCTGTCGTACTTCATAGGTCTTACAAGGTGTAAAACAGTAAAAGTGAAGGAGCTGTCTCTGCTTTGGTGTTTTGACTT